TGTCAGGATTTCACATCTGCGTCCACATTTGACTGCTTTTCTACAGTATTGCACTCGGTTTTGTGCTGCAATTGTGGTTTATTTCAGCGGTCAATATGAAACAAATCAATTGTGGCATATGAAACGAATTAGTTGTGGCATGTGTCAGTTTATGTACGGTCGGTCGGTTTGTTGTAGTCTTAAGTTGGAATAGGTTGTTTTTTGTATGTGCTTGATTGTAAACATAAATTCTATTCTTTAAAAAGTATCATAAAGTTGTTTTAGTGTATTCTGGTGTTTCTAATACGGAAAAGCGAAATGAGCGAAGCTCTTCAACGGCCTCAATGCTCCATTTGCTTGGAGTGGATTAAACTGAGTGAAACTTCTGCACTCAGCTGTGGCCATCTGTTTCACTCGTGCTGTATTGTTAGCTGGATTAAGGTTAGCAATTAATTCGCACTTTCTCATTTTATCCATTCATTCCTTTACCTGTGATCTCGATGTGCAAGTGCGCTAAATTTATTTACTCTTACTTTTCTTTTTAGTTTTGCAAGTCAACTGCTTTCTGTAGGCATTCATTTCATTTTGTTTACATTTATCCATGTCTCTTCAGAAAAACACTAGAGAAACCGTCCCTTTTTATAAAATAAAAGTAGCAGTATATCAAAGCATGATAATAAAATCGAATAGTAGTAATGTGTATGCAGTGCATCAAACTTCATTTTAGAGTCTCGGGATGTCTTATTTTAGTCATCATACTACTGAATTTTCACTCCTGCTTTAATACTAGTGGAAAAAATTTGTATTCATTATAAATGTGGTACAAGTTTTGTAATATGGAACGCAAATTAAATGTTATTTTAAAATTTCCTCTTATTTCGATTTTGTAATAACCTTTTATAAGAAATATAGACTTGGGGTAACTGTCCTGTATGTCGAAAAGATATTATAAATGAGGATCAAATTATTCGACAGTTATTCTTTCAAGTGGACGATCGCGATTTCAGTGATCAGGATCGTCATATCTATGCTTTACGAACTAAGGTTTGCTCACATTATATCGGTATTACAAAACATGATCTTCAAATAGTTAATGCCGGCATGGTATTAGCTTGAATTATGATCGCTTTTGGTAAAACTTATCATGTGTAGATCAAAATATTAACTACGCAGTGTCAGGTAATGCTAGAACTTGCGAGTAAGATGAAAGTTTCATAGCCACTATCGGTTGAAATCTGTGAAATAAATGGGGTTAATTGATAATTTATGATAGAGGAATGCTAGGTTGATAAAATGATGTGGGCATGTCGAAATCATCTTTACCAAAGTTACGTTGCTCTCTTTTGTTCACTTCTCAAAATATAATAGTTTTCAGTGCTGAGCAGTATTTATTAAAATAACTTTTAAGCTTAAGAATGTTTTGGAAGAACTCAAAACGTATAATAATAGGAATACGACTTTGAAGGCCGTTTATAAAAAGCAAGGTGTTCGTTATAATCGACTTGTATGTGCTTGTTTAGCATTTATTATTTTCTTTGATGTAATATGTGCGAAATTTATACATGTTGTAATAGTTTATATTTGCATCAATAGTTGTGAATTATCATGAAAGATTGTGTGAAAAATATACATCTCTTATGTGGGATATTCCAATGACTCTCACTGTTGCAGAAACGTAAATTACGTAAATGGAGGAAAGCCGCTATTTTGATGAAACCACAAATCGAGCGTTTGGAAATGAAAAATTTGCTAAGCATGCTTGAGTTCAACGTACTAGATCTCATACTTGGATAAATCTGATAACTCTCACTGTTGTAGAAACGTAAACTACGTAAACGGAGGAGAGCTGGTATTTTGATAAAACAACAAATCAAGCGTTTTGGAATCCAAGCACACACGAAAAGGGAGTTGCTGATGAGCAAAAAGGGACTGCAAGCTTCGAAATTTGGTTTTTTCATGACATTTTCGTTATGACCATGTCAAACTCGAATGCAGTCATACTGATACAATCACATATATTTACCCATTTCTCTGCATGTCATATTGTTATTTTACAAAACAATAAAATTTATCGTCTTTTTTCATTTACATTAATATTTACCAAGCGTAACTATCATTCATTCAAACTTGATTGCCGCAAATTAGCTATCCCGACTATTATCTCTGAAATGCCAATTGATGGAAGGCAGAGACAATAACATTGCAGACATTTGGTACTTTTAGCTCTTATATCAATCAGATTGCAATTTGAATTTGACTCTGTGATTAAGACACAACACTCTTGCCGTGCAGAAGGAAAGA